GACAGGAAAAAATCGGGGGCTCTTCTGCAGCTGCCACCTGTCAGTGCCTTGCCTCACCTACGCTGAAAGGGGACACCAGGGACAGAGCCAGCCTCCACCACCCACCTGCCACTTCCCTCGGCTTCCATTTCTCCTCCACAGAATGAGGAGCTAAGACTGCCCTTGGCCAGCTGAGAAGTTCAAATTCAAAGGTGTGCACAGTACCGGGCTTGCAGGCTGGCACAAGGAGCTGTCCGCCAAGTGAACACTTTGACAAATATCTCAGAGCCCAGAGGTGGTGCCCCTGTTTTCTCTTCTTGGCACTTGGAGACATTTTAAAGGAAAACACTACAGACATGAGTCTGGGAAAGGCTGGGAGAGGGAGCAGGGGAGGTTGGTGTGGGGATCCATGACGGTGTTCACAGCACGGAGGAGGGACAGCTCACAAGAACTTAGTGCATGTTTTCTGAATAGCTATATAAGATGACCTCACATACCCAGCATGGTGGCCTAGCAGCTAAAGTCCTTGCCTTGTGTGCTCCAGGATCCCATATGGGTGCCAGTTTTAATCCCAGCAGCCCCACTTCCCATCCAGCTCCCTGCTTGTAGCCTGGGAAAGCAGTCGAGGATGGCCCAAAGCCTTGGGACCCTGCTCCCACATGGGAGACCCAGAAGAGGCTCCTGGTTCCTGGCTCCTGGCTTCAGATTGGCTTAGCTCCAGCCATTGCAATGGCTTGGGGAGTGAATCAATGGATGGAAGATTTTCCTGTCTCTCATCCTCTCTGTATATCTGACTTTCCAATAAAAATTAAATAAATCTTTAAAAAAAAATGATGACCTCAGAGAAGGACAGGGAGATGGAGATGCAAATCGCCACGATTTCATCAATTCACATGAAATAAAGTTAGCACGGTTTGGGTACCTGCTTGAATGTTGAAAACCTTCTCAAGGATCCAGATGGAAGCTTTCTCCAATCCTGGCGTCTCTGGGAAGGCCCTGGAGAGTGAGTGAGTTGGTCCTTAGGGTGGAGGCCCTGCAGTTCCCTCCAAGTGGCTGCTAAGCAGAGACCACGCAGACACAAGCACACACACGCCTCTCTCACTCTGTCATGCTGTGCCTGGCTAAAGGCTTAGTCAGCAAGAACACCACGGCCAGAGGCCAAACCAGGGGGGCCTGTGGATCTCAGGCTGGGGAACTGTGGAACCACAAGCTTACGCTGGCTTACGCTGGTTTGGCCTGGGCATTTTTGTTGTAATAACAATAGGTTGTTTAGTCCAAATAGTCTTGAAATATCACACTGTGGCCTATAAACATGTCTAACTATTACAGTTTAATTTAAAAATGTATCAAATCCTCAGGGAATATTGTGCAGAATAGTGTCACCTGTCCACTCCGAGGCTAGTTCAGACTGAAGAAGTGCAGTGAAACGAGAAGGTGCCTGGTGGGCAGGCGGGCACAGCAAGTGACTTATTCCCTGGCACGCAGGCCCCTCCCTGGTTCCTCACTGAGTGAGCACTGCTGGGTTACAATCGTCCCGTGTTTGCTCCAGCTGTGTCAGCCACCCTTAAGGCTTTCCAGATGCATGGAACCTATCTGACTGTACGTATCTTTCCACACATCTGCAAACTGTTAGGCTAGCTGCCTATCCAATCACAGCTATGCACCTTACTTTGAAAACCCAGTAATTTCTTTCTCACAGACATTAAAAATGATTTCTAGCAGAGATTTCCTTGTCACAGCCCTGAGATTCCCTCCCCGCGCTCCTCATTTCTTTTTTGTCTCTTTTTGTTTGCTCCAAGGGCCATGAGCCAGGCCTGGGTGGTTTGGGGTAATCCGGCTGCTGCTGATTCACCAGCCGCCCCCAGAGCTGGATGACTCACTGCAGGAAGGGTTTCCACTGCAGGGCGGGTGGAGTGTGGGCCTGTGTCTTACGCTCCCTAGTAAAAGGCATTGTGTGTGCACAGAGAGTCTTGCCAGGTGCAGCAAGGTAACACCGGGTGGGAGCGGGGCTGTGGGGAGTGGAAGGAGCAGCGTGCACCCAGCTTGCGAACAGCCTTGTCCATTGCGTGGGGACAGACAGGAAGCACCGGGTGTGTTTGCAGAGTCCCGGGCGCCTGGCGAGGCTTGCTGCCAAAGCTGCACCACAGAGGGCGTTGCCTGGGCCAGGGAGAGGAAGTCCGGGGTGAGCCAGGAGGCTCTTCTGCCTGCGGGCTGTGTGCAGCTTCTGGCTTAGCTTGGATGACAGGATGACAGCTCCACCCTGCCCCAGTCATTTGCTGAAAGAACTTGGGAGGGAGCCACCACCTCCAGCTGCCTGGAGAGAAGGTACTTCCTCCAGAGGTGAGCTGTCCGTGAAGAGATGGGCAAGGCCACAGGTGGATGAACACTGGGCAAGTGGCTGGGCTTTCTCCCAGGCTCCAGCTCAGAGTAGGTCCAGGGGAAATCAGACAGTGGGGCCAATGAACACCTCCCAGGAAAGGACCAGTTCTGTCTTCTCCTCGTGATGGCTTCATATCAGCGTCTCGCACCAGAAAACCACCTGCCAGAAACACCTGCCTGCGTCTCCATTTCAGAGCCCAGGCGTGGACAGGGATGCCCAGGGATGCCCAGTGCAAGCTGCAGATGGACAGTGTCATCTGGAGCAATGTTCATTAGAAAGCCACTCATCTGGGAAGAGCTCCCCAAAGCAGCAGAACGGGGGTCTCCTGCTGCAGGGCCGGGCAGAATCTTTGAAGGAGATGACCGAGGAAGTGCGCAGAACCAAACCTCCCTGTGGAGCTGATCCACGGGCAGGGGCTCTGCTCTTCCGTGTTGCTTAGGCTCGGGGCAAGCAGTGCTCAGAGGTGAGTAGGAAAGAGAGAAATCCAACTCAAGTTTGGCCAAAGTGGCAGACAACCACGGACACTTGGTCAAGGACTAGCAGAGGTGGACGGGTGATCACACATAATGTTTTTTAAAGGGTAATAACATGGACCCAGCGCAGCAGCCTAGCAGCTAAAGTCCTCGCCTTGTACTCACCAGGATCCCATATGTGCACGCCAGGATCCCATATGGGTGCCAGTTCTAATTCTGGCAGCCCCACTTCCCTGCCTCTGATCCAGCTCCCTGCCTGTGGCCTGGGAAGGCAGTCGAGGATGGCCCAAAGCCTTGGGACCCTGCACCCACGTGGGAGACCCGGAAGTGCTCCTGGCTTCGGATTGGCGCAGTTCTAACCATTGAGGTCACTTGGGGAGTGAACCAACAGACAGAAAGTCTTCCTCTCTGTCTCTCCTCCCCTCTGTATATCTGGTTTTCCAATAAAAATAAATCTTTTATTAAAAAGGGGTAGAATAGCATGAATCACTCAGGTAAAAAATAAACATGAGTCAAAGGTTTCATTTAACTCAATTAAATGAGGGAACGAGGTATGTGTGTTATAACAAACTCAAATGAGAAGACAAACATTTAGATGGAGTAAAGTGGGTTTTTGTCTACTGTTCACCGTGAAAGGCAATGGGACAGAAAGAGATTGTCCATCTGCTGGTTCACTCTCCAAATGTCCACAGCACCCAGGGCTGATCTAGACCAAGTCAGGGAACCCAAAACCCCATCCCGTCTCCCACGTGGGCAGCTGCAGCAGCCCAAGGACTTGAGCATCATCTGCTGCCCCCAGGATGCTTCCGCAGGAGCTGGGTCAGAGGCAGAGAAGCCGGCAGCTTCATGTGGGATGCAGACCTTGCAAGCAGACACGGTCCCCACTGTGCCACAATGTCCACCCCTTGAAGAAAAAGCTATGGAAGTGAGGAAGTGGACAAACGCAGGCTCCTCCTCGGGGACGGGGCAGTCCTGTCACCAGGCGGAGTCAGTAGAAGCCAGTCACAGCCCATGCCCCAGCGGGAGAGTAGCGGACTCTCCAGGAGGGCACTAGCGGTGAAGACGCCCCAGCCTCACGCCGGAGTGCCTGCATTCAGTCCCCGCCGCGAGCTTCCCATCTAGTCGCGGCAAAGGCTCAACTAAGTAGGTCCCTGCCTCCCACGTGGGAGACCTGGGTGGATTGCTCCTGGCTTTCGGCCTTGGTCCAACTCCCAACAACAGGCATCTGGGGCCAATAAACCAATGGATGGGCTCTCATTCTCTTAAATCCTGTTTAAAATTTTTAGCTTATATAAAACCTTCAGACTTTGCTAGACACCTCCCTGGGGTGGAACGGAGGGTAAGAGTACCCCCCAGCAACACACACACAACAAGGATCACTGTTCCCCACAACGCACAGCTATCCAGGGAAATGCACACCCTTCTCCATAGGTGTACAGGGCACCCCCACCCTGCCAGGCCGAGCCTCTGCACACACCTGTTTCCCTGTGTGGCCAGCTATTCTAAGAACTTTTCTCCACTTAATTAATACTCCCAGCTAAATTTGTGCTTCAGGCAAACAGGGCATCACTGTGCTGGTATTTAGGAAATACTCTTCTGCCTCATGCAGTATTTACATGCTGTTTACTTGAGGCTTAAATTTAATCAAGAAGACCTCCCCGACCCCCAGTGGCACAAACCTATTGGTGGCCCGGCAGCTGACTAGCACTGAAGCATTGTGATTTGTGGCGGTTTACAATCCCGGGTCTGCCCGTGACTAGGAGCGTCACGCCGGATTATGTCTTGTTAGTGGCTTCAAGACTCAGTTTTCTCATCTGTAAAATGGGACGATTGGCAAGCAGCTCCCTCTCCATGGAGTTGTTGGCAGGCCAAGGAACGGAAGCCAGCTTGACCCCGAACCTCTACAGACTCTGGGTGCCTCTTGGAGGCTTTGCCGGCCTTCCCTGCCCGGAGCTGCCCAGCCGCTGCCTCCGTCCAGCTCGCGCAGGGCCACGCCATAGCCGCGCGCGGTCCGCAGGTGGCAGCACCGGCTCTGCGCTCCGTAGGCCCGGGCTGGCGGCGTCCGGAGCCGGCGCCGAGCAGGCCGGGAGCGGCCGAGGCCACACCCCGCGGCCGCGGCGCTCCCCGTGGTGAATCATCGCCCGCAGCTGCGGCGCCCGCAGTCCGCTCCGCGCGCCGGGCCCTGGCCGCGCCCCAGCCGAGCGCTGCGCGCCCGCATTCCGCTCCGCCGCCCACTTGGCTCCCCGCTCAACGCCGCGACAATGGCGGGCATCGCAACCAGGCTTGCCCGGGACCGGGAGGCGGCCCAAGGGCTGGGCTCGCACGAGAGGGCCGTCAAGTACTTGAACCAAGACTACGCGACGCTGCGGGACGCGTGCCTGGAGGCCGGGACGCTCTTCCAGGACCCGTGCTTCCCGGCCCTGGCCCCTTCCCTGGGCTTCAAGGAGCTGGGGCCCTACTCCAGCAAGACCCGAGGCATCGAGTGGAAGCGACCCACGGTAGGAGGCGCGCGGCGCGGGCAGGCGGACCCGGGGCGCCAGGGTGCGGGAGTGGGCGGGGAGCCGAAGCTGTCCAGAGCGCCAGGACGCACGGGCTGCTGCCTGCGTGAGGCCCAGCTCCCGCTCTCACCCTCTGCACCCTCCCGAGCTGCGGTTGGGACGCTTGCACGCCCACCGGGGCACCCGCTCCCCTGCTTTGGAACCTCGCCAAAACCCGGGTGGCTCCCCGGAGGCCGCAAGGAAGCCATGGGCTGCGGCAAGGAGGGGCTGCGGGGAAGAGGCGGGCAGGAGACGCCAGCCTTGGGTCTGCGTGCTGGGCCGCTGTCGTTGACTAAGGTCCGTTCAGCACAGAGGGGCCGTTACCTTCCCCTGGAGCTGTGAAGAGGCGCTGTGGAGCCCTCCACTCCTCGGCATTTCCATTGGTCACTGACCGAGGACAGGAAGTGCTCCCAGGAGCCAGGTCCTCGTTGTCATCCCGCTGGCCCCTAGTCCTCCCCTGGGGGCCTCACAGCCGCACCCTCACAACTGCAGGGGCCCTTGGCCCACCCTTTCAGGGTTTCCAACTCTCCCTGGCCTTGGGACAACTTTGCGTCCATTCTTCCCCAAGATGCCACAGGACCCCCCTACACCCACACTAGGAGGCTCAGCGGGGAGTCGGCCTCTCCCTGCTTCCATGACCCTGGCCACCCTGGGTCCCTTTCCACTTCCCAAGCCCAGCCTTTGGGTCCCCAAGAGCAGTAGGAAGGGAGGGGCGAGGGGAGCAGAGCTCACCCTTCCTGGCTAGCTGCTAAGTGACCCCAGGTGAGCCTCTTCACCCTGTGCACCTGTACTGGCTCGCCTGAATAGCTTGTGACGTCCAGGCTCACCAGGCCCGGCCACCCTGTGCGCCTTGCGGATCCTCCGTGGGCCACAGTTCTCTCCTGCCTTGGGCATTCTCACCTGCCAGAGTCCTCCCTGCTCCCCACTTCCCTGGCACCTGATGCAGCCTTCCTGGTACTGTCACAGTGTACGTGTGACTGTTTATTTGTCCTTTCTGCCCAGCTGCAGGGAGGGAGACTGGCGTGTCCACACACATTGTGTTCCACTGCCCTTGTGCGTTACTCATTCACTCAGCAGAGTTTATAGTCCCTGTTCCACTTCTGGCACTGAACACCCAGGGTGTATATGGAAACCCGAAGGATGGTGACTGGCGAATGAATGAGTACTGAGTGCTAACTGAGATTCGTGAAAGTGATGAGAAAGTGTGTTGGCCTCACATTTCTATGACACTGTGCCAATTGCATCGTGAACTCACACTCTGCTGCTGTTTTCGTTCATTTCAGTGAGCCTTTATTGAATACCTGCTGTATACAGTGCATATAGCCTGTGCCCCTGAAGAGTTTAGAGGTGAATGAGGGGAGACAGGTCCCCCAATGGCTGGGAATTCCTGCGGGACTTCCGGATGTCCTGGCCGCTGCATAAGGCAGGCAGGCTGTGCACTGTGGTTGCAGAAACTAAGCCATGGGAAGTTGGATACCTGGAGGCTGGAGGCCCTCTGGTATGCAGGCTGGAGGCAGGGCTGTGCCCTGGCCGTGCAGGTTTGAGCCTGCTCACGGCTGCCCTGGCTTCCTCCTGCCCTTGCCCCAACACTGCCAGGGGCAGGTCAGGGGGACAAAACGTTTCCACTGGAGTTGGAGGCCAGCGAGTCATCGGTGACTGCAGCAGGGCGGTTTCGATGGAAAGACCGGGCTAACGGCCAGATGGCTGAAGGCTGTAAAGTAGAGGAATAAGATCAACTGATAAGAGTGTGGGGGGTAGAGAGGAGAGAGAGAAGGAGGGAGGCACCGGTAGGGTAGAGGGCAGGGAGGGAGGCAGGTATAGCGGCATCTGGGGCCTGAGAGGGCCTTTTGTGCCCAAGGCAGCTGGGGTGTGTTTCAGTGGAATGTGTTCCAAGTTGAGTCACCACACAGGAAGGGGTTGAAGGTGGAAAGAGATGATGCAGGAGGGACCCTGGACCCTGAGGAGCGAGTAGGGGTGCAGGCTGGCAGGGAGTGAGAGGAGGGCCCATGTGGTTCTGAGAGTGCCCCCCCCCCGCCCCATGACTGCAGGGTATGGCAGGAAGTGGCTGGAGTCTCCGGGAGGGTGGGGGCCTAGGCCAGGGCGTGGTTAAGAGGAAGCCTGTGTGATCCCGGGGTGGCACTGGTCTGGTGAGAGCGCGGGCAGGACCCCTGTTTCCCACTGAGAGAACCACACCTTCAAGTGGGTAGTGAGTGCTTTTTTCTGCACCCTGGGCTCAGCCTCCCATTGGGCTTCAAGCCCAGTGACCATCCAACTCCTGACAGCATCTGTGGGGCATGCCCATGGTATTTGCACGCTGTTATTTAACTCTCAGCGGGTGCTCGCCACAGGTCCGGCCCAACTCCCATTGTGCAAATGAAGACCCTGAGGCCGAGGCCACCGGAGCTGCCATGCTAGGGCCAGAGCCAGGCTTCAGAAGTGATCAGAATCCCTACAGCCTCTGACCCTGACATACAGCCATTCCTTCGCTTGCCTCCCCACTGCCACAAGGGTTAGCTCTCTGAGTGTCAAAGGCCAAACTTTCATTTCTCTGGAGAGGCTGCCCCAGGCTCGATGATGGGAAAATCCCCAGGCGGTAGGCGCTTGGCTGCCAGGCTGTTCTGTCTGCTGCAGGCTAAGCTCTTGACTGCTGGCTGCCAGGCCTCCAGCTAAGCAAAAGAGCAGTCCATTGTCCCTGCCGCTCCCCGGGACAGTCAGATCCTAGCGGGGGGGGGGGGGGGAATGGCGTAAAGGGAATGTGCTGTGTTGCAGAAGAGCTGGCATCGCCTGTGCCAGGAGAGACAGGGCTGGGCCCGGGCTGGCCCGTCACCACGGGGGGTAGGGTGGGAGTACAGCACTCAGCAGACAGGAGTCTTGCATGCCCGGGGAGGAGAGCCTGGCCACGCCCCTTGCCTCCCTCTGTGGGCTTGGGTAGAGCACTTCAGATTCAAAAATGCACCCAGGGAGGCCGCTGTAGGGGCCAGTGTGAGTCAGGGCTGGCTTCCTGCAGGTGGCTTGCAGTAGCCTCGGAGCTTGTTCCTAAGCAGTTAGGGCCCGAGTGGGAGCATGGCTTTGCTTGAAGTTCAGAACCAATGTTGTCTCTGTCACGCGAGCTGTGTGACTATGGACACATCACTGGACCTCCCTGAGCAGTTTCCTCCCGCTGTGAAATCTGTGTGAACCCATCCCATGAGTCAAACTGCCAACACGGTCTTCGCTAAATGTCAGGTACAGGGTAGTCAGAGGTTGCAGATATCACAGCTGAGGGAAGGGCCCCTACCCCACCTGTGAGGAAACCAAAGCATCACCCATGGGCACAGCTGAGTGGAGTCAGACTGGGGGAGGGCTCCATGGAAGAGGTGGCAAGATGCTTCCAAATGTGGTACCATGTAGAAAAAGAGGGGACACGGTAGGAGTGGAGGAATTGCCTGCAAGCAAAGCCGCTCATGTACCAGAACAGGGCAGAGGGGAGGGGGTCTCCATGTCTGGCAGTGGGGCCGGACTCTGTGGAACACAACACCATGGTGGAGCCCCCACCCACCCGTAGGGGACCAGTGGAATAGGGACCTCTCTGCACAGGGGGAAGGGGCGAAGCTGGAAGGGTCCCGTCCAAAGTGCAGAAGCAGTGACCTGGTAGCTGATAATACCTTGTGGGTTTTGTTCCCAGGAGCTCTGCGGGGACCCCCAGTTCATCGTGGGAGGAGCCACCCGCACAGACATCTGCCAAGGAGCCCTGGGTGAGTGATGGGCCCTGGGGAAGCTGTGAGGCTGCAGCTGAGTGGGCTGAAGGGAGAGCTTGGCTAACATGGCCAGTTCCAGAAGCTCCGGGACTTCTCTCATCCTGGAGGCGGTGGCCCTCGCTCCCCACCCCTATACTCTAGCCTCACTGGAGACTTCCCTGCACTGGGCAGGGCTTCCTGAAGTCTGAAGGACCTCTGTGTCCCACCGCTTGATCGCTGGGCCTCCCAGGCCAGAATCCCCCAGGGAGCACTGCGCGAATGTCACTTGGCTGGGGTCTGGGGACCGGGAAGGTGACTCAGTGTGGAGGAAGTAGAAAGCCCAGGACTGTGCGGGAGGAAGTGTGAGCCCCGGGCGTTCCCGGCCGTCACCATGGCAACACAACAGCAGGAAGCTGAGCAGCTCGCTGCCCTGTGTGAGGCTGTGATGTTCACCAGAGTCAGAGCCCTGACATGGGGGGTGCTAAGGCGAGCTCCAGTGTTGGGAGGCCTTGGGTCTGGGACTCCTGCCGCCTCGATATGAGAGCCCAGGCCTGCTGGGAAGTCCCCTGGGTGGCAAGTTGTGGCTGTCACTTCGATTCTCAGTGTTTGCTGTGAGGGTATGCTTTAACTAGGGGCCTGAATTGCCTGCAAGAGAAGCCAAAAACCAGCTTCCTGCCCCGGCAAGTGGGTCAGTGATGGGACGTCCTTCCCTTGGCCCTCACGGGCTCCGACCGCCTGGCACAAGCTGCTGTGCATGAGTGTATGCTGTTTGCCAGACACGCAGGGCTGCTGCTGAGGTTTCTTCTGTAGTGGTTTCCATTTCATGGATGGGCATGCTGAGGTCCTCACACAGATGAAGTAGGGGGTTCAGTCCAACCCAGGTCCTCTGGGTTTTAATCCCCTAGACTGGGATGGGATGAGGGCATGTATGGCATCTCCCCCTGCCCAGGTAGCTTGGCATGTCCTGGTCCAGAAGCTGCCTGTCATTTCTTATCCTGAGGACAGCCCCAGGCTGAGGCCCACAGCCTTGCAGGATGGCAAGGTCAAGGCAAGACATGAGGGTCACAGAATACAACCCAGAGCTGGGCAGAGCTGGCACCACCATCAAGTTGCTGTGATGCCCAAGCCCATTGTTACCTGCAAGAAGCCCACCTCCCATCTCCCCTCTACCGGCCCACCCAGAGCTAGATGACTGGGGCTCCAGGAGCACCCACTACTTTAACACAGGGATCTGCTGGACACATTGAACAACCCTGGGGGGCTGCAGCAGATCGAGACAAACACAGCACCTGCTAACCACATGCTCCAACTAGACGTCTACTTCAGAGTTTATTACTATCCTAAGGGCGAGCTTTAAGGTATGTTTAGATGCCAATAGGCTATTTGTGGAGGAGACTAACACAGCTTACATTCCTGGGAGCAAGGATATGTGGAATACAGCACAGCAAAGTGAAATGTAAACATTCTTGAAGTTTTTAAACTTCTCTAGAAAAAAAAAAAAAGTGTTTATTTGAAAGGCAGAGCAACAGGGAGGGAAAAGAGGGGAGGAGGGAAGCAGAGAGAGAGAGACCAAGAAATGGAAAGACCTTCCCCCTGTTGATTCACTCCCCAGACAGCCATAACAGCTAGGGCTGGGCCTAGTCCCTGCTGCCTCTCAGATGCTTTAGCTGGAAGCTGGATGGGGAGCAGAGTAGCTGGGACCCAAATCTGCACTCTGATAGGGCAGACCTGTGTTGTAGGTGGGCAGCTTAGCTGGCCCTAGTCTGTAATTTCTAAGGTTTTTGTTTAGCCTCTTTGCTTCAAATGCCATATTAGCCATTGGTTATCCTTTTGACCTTCTATTTTAGGGGAGTCTGGTTAGATGATGGTCTGTGACATGTGGTTTATTGAACTCCCATCTTGGTGGCATCTGGGAGGATAGAGTGGTGGAAGGGTGGCGTCCGTCACCACATCCCAGTAAGCTCAGAAGCATCCAGAACAGGGCCAATGGCAATGACACCCCCAGAGTGACCAGATATAAGAGGCTGGGCTGTGTCTGTGGCAGGAAGACTGGCCAGGTCACCAGCCGGAGCCTTAGACTCTTCTGAACACAGGGAGGGCAGGTGGGGCAAGTGAGGCCCCAGAGGCCCCTGGGAAGCAGCTGCTTGAAGCTGCCCTGGCTCCTGGTGACTGCCCTCATACCCCATGGGGAGGCTCTGAAGGCCATGGCGTGACCTTCAGGTCCCACGCTGGGCAACAGTATTGCCCGTTCCCTGTGGAACACGCTGCTCATGGGGCAGCCTCTCCCTGCATTCTCTCCCATCATCGTCCCTTCTCAGAAGGGACAATTCTCATTCCCATCATGTACCGGAGAGCGCTCAGGCACACAGAGGGGAGCGTGCGTGGAAGGCCACCCAGCCAGCAATGGCAAGGGAATGCTTATACTCAGTTCATACCACCCTCCATCTCTCCCTCACCATCCAGTCCTCAGAAACACCCTCCTGTCCCTGCACTTTCTGCCCTGGCGCTTGCTCCAGGAAGCCAGGGCTCCATCACACTGACCACGGTGGTTGGTGCCAGCATCCACCCCCTTTCCCAGACAGTCCACCTTCAGGACTTCACCGGACCACTTTGGGTCATGGCTGCAGGGTGGCCCTGATGGCCAGCTACTGGCTGCCAGCCACCGGCCGAGCAGGACCAGCCCTTGCTAGGAGGGCACTCAGCACAACATGCTCTGCCCTCTGGGAGAGCCTGCAGATGCCACCCAGTATGGCTCTGTGGATGCTGGTGGTGACCACGCTGCCACAGCTGACTGCTACTTGGAGTGGCCCCCACTTCAAAGGCGAACTCTCTCCTCCCCCCTCTACCACTGCTCACCCCCACAGGACAAGCCTGCTGCCCCTGCTGGGAAGGCATGGGGTACAGACCCCTGGCTGGCCCCTGGCTTCCTGCAGCAGAACCCGTGGCTGCTGGTGCTGTCATAGCTGTTGAAACAGTACAGCCTGAGTTTCCCAAAGCCCCATAACCCCATCCCTGAGCCCCCATCCTTGGCTCCAGAACACCCAAAGGAGGTGTCTGGTTCCTGGGTGCAGCAGGGTGGGAGGGGCAGAGTCAAGGGGAGAAATACAACAGAAGTGAAATTTCTGGTACTGCACTTCCACCATCATTTGCCTTTGTGACTTCAGGCAGGTGACCCAGCATCCCCAGCCTCAGTTTTCACTCCTGTTTAATGGGAATATAGACCCTTCCTAACTTCAGATGATTTGACCTGTATAAAAAAGATCTACCTAGAGAATGGGTCTGTAGTGTAGTAAATTAAGCATTTGCCTGTTGTACTGACATCTCATGTGTGCTGGTTCGAGTCCCAGATGCTCCATTTCTGATCTGGCTCCCTGCTAATATACCTGGGAAAGCAGCAGAGGATGGCTCAGGTGCTAGGTCTTCTGCAGTCGTGTAGCAGACCCAGAAGAAGCTCCTGGCTTCAGACCAGCCCAGCTCTGGCCATTTAGGTAGTGAACCAACCGATGGAAGATCTCTGTCTCTCCCTCACTCTAAATCTGCCTTTCAAATTTAAAAAAATTTAAATAATTACTTTTTTATTTGAAAGCGAGAGGGATGTGAAAGCACACACAAGGGATTAGGAGCAAGACTGATACGCATTTAGCAGCAACTATACTCTTACTTCGAATTTGTCCCTGGGCTAGTGGTGGGCATGAGTCTCTTTCGAGATCCTCAGCAGGTGACCGTCAGCTCTCATCACCGGGGAAGCCTGTAATGAACTGTCCAGGAGATGGTCTGCACTGTGTCAGAGGCTTTGGCTGTAGTAAATGCTCTGAGTTCATTTTAGGTGAGAGGCATAGTAAATGCATTTTTATCTGCGGGCTTATTCAGTTGATGATGGGTTTAATGAGCACGGCCCCACGGTGAGGAGAGCAGCATCTGTAAGGAGAGGCTGCCTTCCCAGCCATGCAGGCCAACACCCTTGGTGGGTGCACTGCACCGGGGAATCCTCCAGAAATTCAAGGGGCTGTTGTCCCGGCGTGGCCTCAGTGCTCTTGTCTGAGATGATTAGGTTAGATCCTTCTAAGAGCTTCTGTGACACTGAAACCTGCCACTTTGTCCTACACCTTCCACCACTCCAAGCTCCTGCTAGACTCAGGTTTGTGAGCAAGACTATCTCTGCTCCAAGGTGCTGGGTACTTTGTCCTGTTCAGTGCTCCGTGGCCCTAGCCCTAGAGGGGCATTCTGGGGCATTCAGAAGTGAGTTGGCGTGAGGTGTGCAGGAGTTCTGGCCGGCAGCGCTGAAAAGGGAAGAGATATCAGACATCGCCCCAGCTTGGCCTGGCCAGCAGGTGTGTGCTGAGGCCAACTCTTAACTGGCACTGGAATGGAATAGGTAGCAGTGATGGAATGTTCTGAACCTGCAGCCTCTGGTGTGGGAGCCGCTGGCCATGTGTGGCTGCACTTGCCATGTGATGGATATAATGACTGTCGTTTGTTGCCACTTGCATGCAGGGTGGCTCAGCAGAAAGCTGGGCTTTAGGATTTGGCCTCCTGGCAGAGTCCTGTGTGTGAGGCACAGGTGCCCGTCAGAGCCTGTTAAGCATCAGCGTCAGAAGCGAGGTTTTGCTTGAACCGGAGTGAGGGGCTGGCCTCCCAGCTCTGCCGCTCACGAGCGCTGTCATTTCATTAGCCTCTCAAGCCTTGGTTCTTTGTCCATGAAATGAGAATAATGATGGTGTCTACCTGGGGGCGGGCAAGCATGAGGATGAAGTAGGATAAGGCATGGAGAGCTCGGCACACCAAGGCCAAGTGCACAGAGACAAGTCAGCAGATGTAGAGTACATACCAGCCTGCCCCACTCCCCCTCTCCTTTGGGGTCTGTGATGGCACCATGGGGGCGGACGGTGTGGGAGGACCATGGTATCCGGGAGTGACCGTGGGGCCACAGCCCTGCAGGGGCAGCACACAGATGAAAAAGGAACAAGCTTCGCTACTGCAGTCACTACCTGAGTCATCCAGTATGCGAGTGTGGGGAG